CTACCACGGGAAGGACCAGGTTCAAGCCGCAAACGGCTCAGGTATGTCTATTACGCACGTTGGTCAATCTCGTTTAGCTGGTTCTTCCCTAGTTTTGAACAATATCCTCCATGTCCCTTCGTTAGCCAAAAAATTACTCTCAGTTTATCGCCTTGTTTCTGACAATGACATCTTCCTCGAATTTCACAAATATTTCTTTCTTGTTAAGGACAAGCTAACGAAGAAAATCCTCCTTCGCGGTAGGAGTCGTGGAGGCCTTTATCCTCTTCCGATCGGTCGAGACTCCCATCATGAGAAGCATGCGTCTTCTGGTGTCAAGCTTTCATCGCACCACTGGCACCAGCGTCTTGGTCATCCGTCAAATAAAGTAGTTCAAACAACTATCAAGTCCAATAATCTCCCGTGTACTCCAAACATTGAGTCTTCTATCTGTGATGCTTGTCAACGTGCTAAGAGTCATCAATTACCTTATGGTTATTCCACTCGTGTGTCTACTACACCTCTTGAGCTTGTTCATACAGATGTTTGGGGTCCGGCGTTGCCTTCTTCTGGGGGTTTTAAATACTACGTTAGTTTCATTGATGACTATAGTCGCTATTGTTGGATATACTTGCTTAAGCATAAATCCGATGTTGAGAATGTTTTTTATGTGTTTCAGAAGCACGTTGAGCGCCTCTTAAACACCACTATTCGCGCCGTGCAGTCTGATTGGGGCGGTGAGTATCACCGTCTCCATGCCTATTTCCAGCGCATCGGTATTTCCCACCGTGTGTCATGTCCTCATACATCTCAACAAAACGGTATTGCTGAACGGAAGCATCGACATCTTGTCGAGACTGGGCTAGCTCTCCTTGCGCATTCCTCTTTTCCACTCCGGTTCTGGGATGAAGCGTTCCTGACCGCATGTTATCTTATCAATAGAATGCCTACTTCAGTCATAAATCGTGCCACTCCTCTCTTTCGCCTCCTCAACATAGCCCCCGAGTACTCCTTCCTTCGTACGTTTGGATGCGCTTGCTGGCCTAGCCTCCGAAAATATAACTCCCATAAGTTAGAGTTTCGCTCCAAAATGTGCGTGTTTCTTGGATATAGTCCTATGCACAAAGGCTACAAATGCCTCGATCGCAGTACCGGTCGCATCTACATATCTCGTGATGTTGCTTTCGACGAGAATGTTTTTCCGTTTGCCACTCCGGGTGCGGTGGTCGACGTGTCTCAGCTCCTCCTTGTGTCGTTTCCTCCGAAAGAACCAGTTGTTCAGAATGACCATGCGCGTAATTATGACATGTCCTTGTTACCCGTTGATGCTACTGGTGTTTCTTCTGTTGTTCTGTTCAGGTACCAGCCCGGGCGATCGACGTACCAGGCGCAGGATCACTTGACGTGCATGTGCATGCCCCGCCTTCCGAGGCGCCCAGCGCTTCGCACCGGCCCGCCAGCCCATGCCTGGCCACTGCCTCGTCCTCGCCTTGCTCCGCGTCCGGCCCACCTGACGGGCCGCAGTCGCCCAACGCCGATACTGGGCCCGGCGCTGATGCTGGATCGTCCTCTCCAGTGGCCAGCTCCCCTGTGCGCGACCAGGGGGAGGTTCTTTTGCCGCCGCCCTCTGCTGATGTCTCCTCATCTGCGACATCCTCAGTGTTGCCTGCTTCTCCGACAGCGCCTCAACCTATGACGACACGGTAGCGCAACAATGTGTTCCGTCCGAAGATATGGACTGACGGTATGGTCCGTTATGATCCGTATCACCGCGGAGCATTTCTTGCTGTTCCGGCGACGCATCGGGTTGCTCTTTCGGAACCAGCATGGAGGACCGCGATGGAGGAAGAGTTCGACGCCCTTCAGCGGACTCAAACATGGGTGCTTGTCCCTCGGCCCCCCGGTACTAACATTGTTGGCAGTAAATGGATATTCAAGACAAAGTTTTGCCCCGATGGCTCTGTTGATAAATACAAAGTCCGTCTCGTTGCCCGTGGTTTCACTCAGCAGCATGGCATCGATTATCATGACACCTTCAGTCCAGTGGTCAAACCTGTCACTGTTCGTCTTGTGCTCTCCCTCGCCGTGTCGCGTGGATGGTGTCTTCGCCAGATTGATGTCAGTAATGCGTTTCTCCATGGTTTCTTGTCTGAGGATGTGTATATGCAGCAGCCTCCTGGTTTTGAGGATCCTCGTTATCCACGACATGTTTGCAAACTTCAGCGTGCTTTGTATGGTCTGAAGCAGTCTCCTCGCGCCTGGTATGCCCGTCTGAGTGATAAACTTCATCAGCTTGGTTTTGTTTCCAGCAAGGCAGATACCTCTCTGTTCATCTTCGATCATCAAGGTGTTCAGGTATTCATGTTGGTGTATGTTGACGACATTGTTATAGCTGGTTCTTCGGCTGCTGCTGTGGATCGCCTCGTTCAGACTCTCGCCGGCACCTTTCCTATCAAGGATCTTGGGCGTTTGGAGTATTTTCTCGGTATTGAGGCTACATATCGTTCCTCTGGCCTGCTTCTTACTCAACATAAGTATGCTCTCGATCTTCTGCATCGTGCTAACATGGAGAGTTGTCGTTCAGTTCCCACCCCCATGTCATCCACGGATAAACTCTCTCGTACTGCTGGTATTGTGCTTTCTGCTGAAGATGCCTTTAAATACCGCAGTTTGGTTGGGGGTTTGCAGTATCTCACATTGACGCGGCCAGATCTTTCTTTTGCTGTCTCCAAAGTTTGCCAGTTTTTGTCTCAGCCGACCACTGTTCATTATGAAGCTATCAAGCGTATCCTTCGGTATGTCAAGGGTACTGTCTCCACGGGACTGCAGTTTGCATGTTCTCCTTCGTGTACTCTCAACATCTACACTGATGCTGATTGGGCTGGCTGTTCAGATGATCGGCGCTCCACTGGCGGTTTCGCCATCTTCTTTGGTCCCAACCTTGTCTCGTGGAGCTCTCGTAAGCAACCCACTCTCTCTCGTTCGAGTACCGAAGCTGAATACAAAGCCTTGGCTAATGGCACTGCCGAGGCTACTTGGATACAGTATGTGCTGCAGGAGCTTGGAGTGCATCTATCGACACCCCCAGTTTTATGGTGTGACAACCTCGGCGCTACGTATTTATCGGCGAATCATGTCTTCCATGCACGTACCAAGCATATTGAGATTGACTTCCACTTTGTTCGCGAGAAGGTGGCCATGGGCGCTCTTGCTGTTCGGTTCATCGCGTCTGGTGATCAACTAGCTGACATGTTCACTAAACCCGCTACTCATCTCACCCTCCGTAGATTTCAGTCCAATCTAAACCTCGTTCACGTCGGTTCCGATTGAGGGGGAGTGTTAAGCGTAGCGTTGGTTAGCTGTAGCTATTGTTTAGGGATTGTGCATATCCTAACTATGGCAAGGATCGGTTGTGATCCTTAGCCTTGCCGTGTACTCCAAACATGTATGTGTTGTTGTTTATATAATGAGAAAGCCCCACGGTGGGCAAAGTACGGCAAACAAAATCGATCTATTAGTTTTAATTGTGATGATTCATGGCAGTTCGACGCCCACCTCTTCTCGTCGGAGACGCGGGCGTGGACTGCTAAGCGGGCCTCGCAGAGCCTATCGGAGTGTGACAAGCTATTGCTGGGTAATCACGATCACGACACCGGCAAGCAGATCACCGTGGGAGCAGACTCGCTGGGCTGGGTTAATATCATCTGGGGCATCCTTCTGGTTACCAACCTGTTCGACGAGCATCCCGTGATCCAGTACATCCCATTGCCTGAGCCAAGGGTTCGCACCACCGACGAGGACGGTGGCATTTTCTACTGCGCAGATTTGCCCGAGTATATCCGCGATGTCACCTGCTGCGACGGCCTGATCAAGCTCGTCGACGTCGACTTCTACGGCGACGATGGTGGGAGGGACCAAGGCTGGATAGCCACCACGTTTACCAGGATGGTGTCTTGGGACGATTGGCGCCGGCGCTTCACGGTCGATGTCGCCGGCATCTCGGTTGATCCTGGCTATCGGGCTTTGCTGCCAGACCTGTGGAACGACAAGACCAAGCAATTGGAACTGAAGAAGCTTGCTTACTACGGCCCAACCCTGAGCACGCAGGATGATGACTTCGTTTACATGATGGCCAGGGTGAACGATGAAGATGACAAGGCCTGCGTCATCGCCATTGACATTAAACGTGCGGCTGTGGAGGCAGTGGCGCCGTTCTCCGACCAAGGACGCCGCTGCATCACAACCTACTGTCGATGCACCTTCCCCAAGTACATCGACGCGGCGATAGACAACAGACCGGTGGTTCTTCCTTCTTTCTTATGTGGTTACTCAGGAATTCTATCCCTCCTGCTCTTGGTTTCTCTGTTGGTTAATGTGTGCTTAATTTGGAGAATGTTTATGTGTTGACGCAGTTGACAATGGGCTTTTTCGTGTTTGTTACTTCGATTGATCTGTTGGTCAAACTGTGCGATATGGTCTTGTAAATTAACTGTTATGATCAGATTAGTTTGTTGACCCTATGGCATGTAACCTTCTTCTGAGATCCACTTATGTTCTCTCCATTGGAAATTGCAAATAAATGCTTGGAATTTGAGAATGCAAGTTACAGCGAGTGCAGATCACTAGTGCACTGTTGTGCAGTGTCATCTCCACGTTACAATATTTGGGTGATGGTTTCATACTAGGAGCCTATACAGTTCTCCAGAATTAGGATTATGCTCAAACTTCCGTTCAATTTATACAGACAGTCAGGTATAGAACATTAGAAAAAAGGGGTTCTGATGTACAGTTTACTATAATGAAAAGTAATACTCCCTCCGTAAACTAATATAAGAGCGTTTAGAATACTAAAATAGTGATCTAAACGCTCTTATATTAGTTTACAGAGGGAGTACTATATACTCTAGAAGTACTGCCACAGGTAATTGTTCTGCTACGAAATTCTTGGTCCCACTCTGCAATTTAATCATACTGATGAAATTTAATAGTACAAGATGCGTTAACCTCAGCAAGATTCAGCATTATAGAATGTCCTGCAGCTGTTTCAGGCTGGGATCCAACTCTGCGCCATTACCCTCTTCATAATAACCATCTGAAGGGGTCCTGTATGCATCAGCAATCGCCTTTCCTTTATCCATAACGGCTGACGGCACGGTTTGCAGGAGGCTGAAATGACAGGAATACAAAGAAGTATGAGTAATGACTCCTTTTGCTTTCAAGATGGATAAAGATATTGCATTTGGTAATACTTGTCCAGTGCTCCAAGGGCTACAGCGATTTTGCTCCTCATGACTTCAACAGATGCTGACGAGTCTTTCCGTGAAGCCTTTAGTAGCAGCGAGTCGAGATCTTCCAACGCTCTAGGAAACAGCATGCATAACAGCTCAATACATTCGTCAAACAAGCAAGTACTTCTAAAAAGGGCGTCATTTACCGTAAGCATTCATCCACTGCATCAGAGGCAGTTTTGCCTTGGCCATTACTGGAAGCATATTGTGCCACCTACATTAAGTTTACGACACAGTTTCAGTATCCATAGATAGAGATAAAGGAATCATAATTACGAAATATGGATACTCTATAATGCTATGGCCTAACAATAAAATTTCAAGACCTAGGACACCTGAAGCTTGAGAAGTAGAAGGGCTAGCTATTCATAAAAACATGAATGCGCTAGTAATGTGCTAACATTCACCAAATCATTGACTTACTGCCCGAATATTGATACGTAGAGATGATGCTGGACCAGAGCGAAGCAATGATCTACTCTCATCAAACCTTGGCTTCTCGAATTCCAAGGATTTCTCTGTAATGAAGCATATGAAGGTTAAAAACCATCTGACAAAGGTAGAATCTAAGATAATTGAGTTGTACTTAGCAATTGTATGCTGCTTGTTTCAAAGGACCATTTCCATTGGAAGAAGCACATAATAATTGAATAATGTGTGGTAGACCTGCAAAAGAATTCTGAACGAAACTGTACATTTGACACTGATTCCGTAGGGTTGCAGATGAAGAACCCAGCTGCTAATTGTTGCTCAAACAGTCGTGCACTTGCAATTGGAATAACTTTCTTGCACATGTTCAATCAGGACAGCCAGTGTGCCGATCAAGTCGGTGCTTTGGGTACCAAATTTATCAACTGTAAATCACCCTCACCTAGATCCCTGAACTGGTCTTGGGTCAGCAGCACGGCCGGGACGTACGTCTCCAGTGGCTCCAGCTTCTTCCTAGCAGCAGCAGCAGCAATTGAATGTCAGCACGAAGCCTCAAGATGGTGTTAACGCAAACCAAATGGGGAGACGGATTAGCACTTCTTGACGTAGTTGTCGAACGGACTGGCTTCTGCCCCTGCAACATCGGTGACACGGCAAATTGGTCACTCACGTCGCACACCGAGCACGCGCGAAGTGCCCGAAGAAATACTGTAGAATGCTTACGGCCGGCGGTGGTGGCGAGCCAGGCGGCGACGCCGGCGAGGGAGACGGCGCGGCGGCCGACGGAAGGCGGTGGGACGGAGGCGGCCGTGACGCGGCAGCATCGGCGCCGGCCGCGGGGCGTTGCTAGGGTGGGGCAGAGCTGCGCCCCGGCGGAGGTGGCGGGGAGGAGCGAGGCGGAGGGCATTTTGGGGGGCAGGGAGCTCTCGGCGGGGAACTGGGGGGAGCTCTTTGCTGGCTGCCGCGACGGACGCGCTCGGTTGGCTCGGCGTGCCCACGGGCGGGGCTGCGTACGAGCAAATCGTTCGGTTCGGGTCGGGCAACTGGTGGACGCGCTCGGTGATGTTGCACGTTACGTGGGCTATCCGTCGCCACCAGGAGGCCGGGACCGAGTGACTGGTCGCCACTCGCCACCCTCCTTGTACGTACGTGGGCTCTGCCTTGTCGCCGGCACTGCGATCGCTGGTTATGGCATGAGTGCGACGCCGTCCGAAGAAGCATGGGCGAGGATGATAAACCAGTGCCACGAAACGGATAGGGAAGTTTTTGTTTACGGTATCAATAACTTCCCAACGTCCAACTTTTACGCTCTCGCCCCGAACGACCTTTCGATCGTAGGATGTCAGCACTGATCCTAAAGCATGTCAAAGCAGCCATGTCATCGATTCCTTTCGTTCGGAAAAGGAACATTTCCATGGTCCTCACGCCGCTGCCTTATCCATTTTCTCTCCTCGCCCACCACACACTCCCAAGCATGGCAATTTTTGTTTGAAATATGATGGCAAATATACATTTTCAGAACATGGCAAATTTAACTACGTAGCACGGAAATATACTTGTGTAGCCATGGCATTTTTAATTTGTTTCCATGGCAAAAGTACTCCATTTTTGCCATGGAAAAAATTAATCTGTTTATTGACGTGGCAGTTTCACTCCATTTTTGCCATGGTAAATTTAACTCCATTTTTTGGCATGACAAAAATATTTTTATTTTTCGCATGGTAAATTTTAGGTTAAGTTGCCATGGCAATTTTCAGTTTAAGTCGCCATGACAAATTTATTGTAAAGAGCATGGCAATTATAATTCAAATATTATGGAAAATCTAAATTTATAGAACATGGAAAATTTTATTATGTAGCATCTTAAATATACTTGTGTAGCCATGGCATTTCTTAATTTATTTTCCATGGCAAAAGTACTACTTCTTTGCCATGGAAAATTTCACACCATTTTTGGCATGGCAAATTTAACTCCATTTTATGCCATGGCAAACTTCTATAATTAACATGTTCAAAAACATGTAAACTTGCCATGGCAAACTTATAGTTGTTCAAAAACATGGCAACTTACGATGTTCAAAAACATGGCAACCTTTTGTAGATGTTCAAAAATATGACAAATTTGACATGGCATTTTAAAATATTAAAAAACATGGCAAACTTGCCATGGCAAACTTTAATATGTGCAAAAACATGGTAATTTCTTTTAATTAAGTTTGTTAAAAAAAACATGACAAACTTCTTTAAATTAACATGTTCACAAACATTCCAACTTGCCATTGCAACTAAAGTTGTTCAAAAACGTGGCAATGTTTGTAGATGTTTAAAAACATGGCAAATTTGCCATGGCAACTAAAATAAGTATTGTTTATAGATGTGTCTTTTTCCATGGTAACTAAATTCATTTTTTGCCATGGTTCGTTGTGTCTTTTTGCCATGTCCATCTTAAGAATGTTTGTCATGGGCATTACAAATTAGTTTGAGAACATGGCAAGTTTGTTCTTTCAAATTTGTTTTTGCCATCGGGATTACAGGTAGAATATCAATACAACTTAAGATGTTTTCTCCATTTTTTCCGAAAATTTTCTATGTGTCTAGAGATAGCTTTTTTCATCATATCACTTCATGGCAACTTTTGCATTTTTTTTGTAAACTTTGTAGTGATGGCAATTTTTTCATACTGTACAGATGCAACGATTTATTCCTTTTTTCTTGTTATTTTTGAAAACATAAACTTAAACATGATAGTTTTTTCATAAAATGGCAAAATTCCATGACAATTTTTTGGTGCAATTATTAGTACTCACAGAAAAAACTGGGCTTTTTTTACTAGTTGTAACTTAATATGGGCTTTATTTTTTGTTTTCCTTTTCACAGGTAAAAGGCCTGTAGGGTCCGATGGTGGGGCGTTCGTGCTGGGGCGTTTTCCTCCTGAACGAGTCGTCCGGTGGATGCCCCTCCCGTCCCGAACGAAGCGTTCGGTATGGGATGGTCCCAGATGGAACAGTCGCGTCTCTAGCCGCACTCCTAACAGGTTCTTCTCAAACGTTTTTTTCCGCATCGGCGTCTAAAAAACGGTCAAGTTGCCTTCTCAAAAGCCCGTTTTCGCCGGCTTAGACCGAAATTGACGTCGGCGTACTCAAGCCGAACCCGGCGCGCTGGGGGGCGTCCGGAGACGTCGGGGCGAGCGTTTTTGGCGCGAAAGAACCGCGGCTAGCCGCGTCAGTGAGACGGCGCCTCGTTTTCCTCAGAGCGCCTCGGTTTCCCGCGGGGAATCAATGGCGGGGCTGCCGCCGGTCAGCCTTGTCATTAATTCCTCACGGGCGGCGCGGCGACGCCTCCCCTCCCGCCACGCGTACACACAGCGCGGGCTATAAAATCCGTCGCTCCCCCTCGCCGCTGGCCACACTGGCCCGAGCCCGAACCAGCCGTCGCGCCGTCGAGCTCCCTCGTCTTTGCTCTCTCCCGTCCGCGCCGCCGGACTCCCCCGTCCTCCCCTTCCCCGGCGATGGCCGAACGCTTTCCAGGCGACGCCGCGGCGGCCAACGACTTCGGCCACCGCTCGCTCCAGAAGCGGGAGGCATGGCTGCTTTTCGAGGCCAACATCTCGACGCCGCCGAACATGCACGCCGGGCCGACGGGGTGAAGGCTCAGCAACGGCGGCGGCTCCATCCCCCCGGTGCCTGACGTCGACGCGCGCCCCGGCGTCTTCGCTGCCGAGGTCGACCGCGTGCGGGCGTCCCTAACAGAGGAACAGTGCGCCCTTTTCCAGTACGCCGCCGACAACCACGCGGCGTGGGCGGACTACTTCCAGCGACGGCAAGCGCAGCAGCTGGCGTCCACGAACGGGGCGCCGGTGGTCGGCGGTGTCAAGAACAACGACGATCGGCGCGTCTAGTGGGGCGTCCCGGGCCGCACGCTCCACGAAGTGCTGTAGTATCTCGAGGGCGGCAATAACCCGCTGCCGGCATACCCCTGTCAACGAGGGTGGTAGGCGCGCCCCCTCCTCGGCTCCTCCGTGCTTCGTCAAGCCAAAGATGGAGTCGGGGCACGCCGCCGTCAAGACGGAGCCGAAACTCCCCGTCGTGAAGACGGAGCCCGGGCTCGCCGGCGGCGTCAAGAAGGAGGAGCTCGACGACGCGGCGGCCCTCAAATGGGCACGCGATGACTGGGCGTAGCTGGAGCTGGAGCGCCAGCGCGCCGCCTACGAGCGGTTTGAAGCTCGGCGTCGTGGCCGGGACGAGGGAGGCGTCGTCGTCCTCGACGACAGCGACGACGACGACGCGCCGCCGCCACCACCGGTCCGCCTTGGAGACACCGGGCAGGAGTCCAGCAGGGGCGGCCACGCCGTCAAGAAGGAGAAGGCTGACGACGACGATGAGGACGGCGGCGACATCGGCGACTTCACCGCGCTCAGCGACTTCTTCACGCCCGTAGATGTCTTTTTTTAATAATTTATATAACGCCGAACATGTTGAATATTAATGTCAGATTTGCCGAATTTAGCCAAACTTTGCCGAATTCAGATTTTTTAAAATAAAATAAAAACACGTCTGGGGCGAGTGGCTGAAAACCCGCTCACCCCAGCACCGATTTTAGCGTCGGCTCGCCCCCAGGGGCGCGTAAAATCACCGCCTGAAGGGCCAACGGCTGGAGATGCTCAAGGCTGCAGAGATCGCCACCGGCGACGTAGAAACGACCAAATTCAAGGGTTCGGGTTGGCTTCATGAGGTGCGTGTGGAAGGAAATGTCGCTCCATTTTATTTTATTTTTTGCGAAAGATCTCTCAAGCGGGCTCCCTTTGCATGACCTTTGAAGTGGCTTTTTTCTAAACGTCACATGAGGGGGTGGGGAGTTTCCCACCTGATTTTTCATTTAGAGTAAAGGTTTCTTTTACAGAGCAAGCGTTTATCGTGAGGAAAAGTCATGCCACGGACAGAACCGGATCCTTCACATCCATATTTTTGTATATGCTACGGTACCCTAACATCCCTTCTTCATTGTACACACACATTTCACTGTAGCTTCGTGACATCCCTTGAGGATGTTAGAGGATCCACTTCCGCCACGGACCTGCATCACTTCTCTGCTCATGTGTTTTTAGGTGATGTGGTCATAGGATTAGGTCAAAGATTACATTAGGCAGTACATCAACCGGCGCTAAGTGGCGTTGTCCGAAAACCAGAGCATTCCTGGCGTCCCAAATCTTTCAAAGGAACAGCAATGTCATGAAATGTTGCGGTGAGGTAGAAGTTGTGAAAAATTGATCTTCCAGATGAGCTTGATGTCGTTGCAGTTTTTGGCCTCATGCCAAGGGCGCGCCATATAGCTTTTGTTTTGGGGCATAGGAGGAACAAGTGCGTGTGCGTGTGCGTGTGCGTGTGCGTGTGTGTGTGTGTGTGTTCAAACGAAAGTGTTGAGTAACACGGTTGATGTAGTCAAACGTCTTCGTGATCCAACCGATTAAGTACCGAACGCACGACACCTCCGCGATCTGCACACATTCAGCTCGGTGACGTCCCTCGAACTCTAGATCCAGCTGAAGCCGAGGGAGAGTTTCGTCAGTACGATGGCGTGTTGACGGTGATGATGAAGTTACCGACGCAGGGCTTCGCCTAAGCACTACGACAATATGACCGAGATGGCAATCTATGAAGGGGGGCACCGCACACGGCTAAGAAATCAACTTGTGTGTCTATGGGGTGCCCCCCTCCCCCGTATATAAAGGAGTGGAGGAGGGGGCCGGCCGACCTCATGGGGTGCGCCCCAAGGGGGGGAATACTACTCCTACTAGGAGTAGGTTCCCCCCTTTCCTAGTCCAACTAGGAGGGGAAGGAAAGAGGAAGAAGGAGAGAAGGAAAGGGGGGCGGCCCCCTCCCCAATTCGGATTGGGCTTGGGGGGCATAC